GAGTTATTGATCCAAGTAATGACCTTGGAATTATCAATCTCCCATGCATCAAGCAACAAATCATAATTCTCAGTTTGAGGCACTGAGGGTTTCTTTTTTCAGTGACATAGCCCCACATATTCTTCCCACGAAGGAAGTTCTTCATAACGTAACTCCAATACGTATAATTCTTTCCATCCAAACGAGTACTTATTGACTGAAGGGAATCATCCTTTCCGGCCATGTTGAGAATGAATAAATAACCACAATGACAGTATAAGAATCTGAGAATAAGGAGTAACAAACCAGCGAAAGCAATCAATCGGATAACGAATGAACAACAATGACGAATCAACAGCACCAACGAATCAACAGTAGCAACGAATCAACAGCAACTACAAATCAACAACAACAACAAATCAAAAGCAACAACGAATACCAGTGGCAGAAAACGAGGACAACATGCTACAGATGACTGCTACAAAGACTTCTAACAACGTATTGAACCTCCGCTCTGATACCATGCTAATATTGTCATATGATTAAGATAAAGAAGGATTACAAGTCTTCAAAGAAAAGCATAAAGACTACAAAGAATAAAGCGAATATAAATACTAGCTAGACAGAAACCCTAATGGGCTAAAGACTAAAGGGCCCATAAACAAGTGCGCTAATAATATATAGACTAACATACAAAACCCAACCGACCATCACCAATTTTCTCGATTATTTGCAACATTTCCTAGTTTTAAATCCCTTTCTTCTCCAAACCATCTGTAATATCTGTAATAGAAAACAACTCAGGTTATGCAAATAACTAAATCTAATACATAAATTAAGGTTTACGTTTCTTCGAAAATATCACAACATAATACATAAGCCATTCATGAAATCAAAACTTATCAAAGTTGAACAAAATAAACCTAAAAATCCTTGAAGACCGATGTTGAAAACCAAACCAAAACATATAAAAAAAAACATTACAAATTAGAATTTTGAACAAGTGATTTCATTATGTTCCTAACCTAGTGATTTCTTAGGTTTCCTTATTCATGAATCCTTCCAACCAATAATTTCACAATCATCAAAATTTGGATGTGAGTGGATATAAGTGTAGGAAATTAATCCTACTAAGACATAAATTGAGGTGGATGTGCTTTGGAATTTAACATGCACAAAATCGATCTTGAGATCGACATTGGTGACTAACAAACTCATTGGAGAACACGAATAAGACCTAGAATGAGACATTGAAATTCGAAGGTGATTTATGCGAAGGTGTTCATGATATCCTAGAGAGGCTGATGATGATTGATAAATTGAAGGTAAAGTTTATTAGATAAGAGACATATAGTAATTTCCAAAACTAGTCCATGGCTTGACTTCCATAGTTGTGACTGGTTTCTCAAGAAATGATGGTTGTAGTGAAAGCTTCTAAGGTATGTGATCAAGTGTGATGGGTTTTGTAAAAGGGTGGAAACCCAAAAATGGATGAGTACGGTGAGATGGAGAAGACTGTCGTGGAAGGGTAAGGAAGTGGTGGCGGTTGTTGGTCGAAGGGAATGGGGTGATGTCCGATAAACGAAAATATGTAGAGGAAGAGGTGGGCTATATATAAGGTGGGGGGTTAGATGTGAGTCATTTTCCATGTAATAATAGATATTTATTAAAGTAAATGAGAAAAAAAATGTAAAAAACTATATTTAAAAGGGTTAAATAGATAGTTAATAATACCAAATAAAAAAAAAGTTTTGCTCAAAAGGATGTTCAACCAAATATTTCATGATTAGGGTCAAAATCCAGAAAAAATAGAAACAAGAGGGACCATTTTTGAAGTTTTACCTTAAAACTCCGTTAGATTTATTATATGAAGTTTGTCATTTTGTTCTCCAGCTTTTTTTTATAAATTCAATAAAGGAAAGAGAAGAAAGGTATTGATAGAAAAAAAGGGATAGGAATGAAAATGTTTTTTATTTCATATTCCTGAGTTTGATGGAATGAAAGGAAATAAATGAAGATTTTTAAAATTTTGTGTTCTTGAGTTATGAGAAAAAAAAAAACTTAAAAGATTTTTCTTGCTTTCACTTTCTTCCCAAATCCATAAAATTAGGGGGAAATTTTTGGAAGGACTTCAAATCGTTTCCTTCGCCACTTTCCTTCCCTTATTAAAACTTGTAAACATGAATTTTCTTAGGTTATTTCCATAAAAAACCTTATATTTTCAATTTTTTTCTTTTTAGATCTAAATTTTTTTTCCGAAAAGATCCAACTTTTACCTATTACTTGTTATTTTAGACCTTAGCAGGTTACTAAAAGGGAAATTAAGTATTTTCATTTCATAAAAAACCCCACATTTTGTACTTTTTTTTAGTTTAGACCTAAAATGTTTTTTTTTTTTTAAATAAACTCAATTTTAAAATTGGTTACAACATATAAGACTAGTTGTATAAGGTACTTAACTGCACCGGTTTAATGAAGCTTAACTTCGTTGATGCAAAAAAACGTGAATATATCCTTTCAAATTAAAATGAAATCCTAAATTTTATTTTGGTATTTATTATGATTATTCTTAAGAATCAATAATAGTCTTAAGAATCAATAATAATAATATACAAACACCATGTATTGATCTAAACACCATGTATACATAAGATAGATTAATAAAATGAGGTAGTAGGACAACTATTCAATTTTCTTTTCTCTACAACAAAATTCATAGTTTTGTCAGTTTTGCTCATTCACCATATTCCAACTATTGTTAATAATGTCAATCATCGTCTTTTGATATCTAAGTGTGCAATATCATTCTTATTATTTGAATTTTCAACTTATGCTCAAATTGTTTCATTCCCAAAATATAGTTTTATGTATTAATATGTGATGTTAACATTTTTTAAGAATGTCTTAAACTTGAATCTCATATATCTAAACAAAACTAATACAAATGTTTAAGATTAATATTTTTTATGTATTTATTTGATATAATTATAACATATTATTTAATAATGGGCTAATGCTACAAAATGTTCTATGGATTTGGTTTAGGAGAATGACACTGAGTGTGTTTGTTAATTGTTCTAAGAAATAGATTAGAAAATTCGGCCAAAAAAATAATATACAAATGTGAGAGAGAGAAATATGTCCAAACTCATCAAATACGTATAATAAACAAACTAAGATAATTATTTTGTATACAGTTTGTTAACTTATGTGGTATTTTTTTCCTACAAATTTTTCCTATAATTAAAAAAAATTGTTATTATGCTAAAAGATTTTTCATAGCCAAGTATTATCCATGTTACCAAAAAATATTAAATTAACATCAAACTTTTTATTAGCGGTAATAATAACATTTTCTATAAACAAGATATCAAGTTTAATGATATAATATATATCCAAGATAAAGTTTCATTATACCTTTTAGACAAAAATAAATTTTTACAAATCTTTTAGGTTATATTTGCTAAAAATATAATAGGTTAGATAACATTTTGTAGTGTATACATATATACCTTCTTTTTTCGGTGTAGTCAATAACTATCTTATATATTTGGTATTGAAGATTATAACCAATTTTAAAGTTGAGTTTATTTTGAAAAAAAAAAATAACATTTTAAGTCTAAAATGGAAACAACTACAAAATATAGGGTCTTTTATGAAACAAAAATATCTAATTTATTTGTTAGTTACCTCCTAAGGTCTGAAATAACAAGAAACACATAAAAGCTTGGTCTTTTTCGAAAAAAAAATTTAGGTCTAAAAAGAAAAAAAGTCAAAATCTTTTATGGAAATAACCCAATTTTCTTAGACATCCTTATGTCCTGTTTGATTTCCATCTGATCGAGTCGGGTCAGACATTTTTTGCTAACTCGGTCAGCTAAAAGTGTTTGGTAAACAAATTTTGCGTGTCTGACTCGGAAAACAACGTCTGACTCGGTAAGAAATATTGAATTAGCTGACTGAGAAAGGGAAAAACTTCTTCTAATTGTGCCCTTGTTCTACCGCTCATCTTTCAGCCTCTTCTCATCAGGTATGCTTTCTGCAAAAAGCCACACCATTTTTCTTCCTCTAAATCGATCACACTCCCATCAAATTCGCAGCTTCTCCTTCGACTTCGTTTTCTCCATCAAGCAAAAAACACTTATGATTTTCTTCCTACGTCTTTTTTTTCCTACTTGTTAAAAAAAGTTTCACCTAGCATTTGATTAATGATTTAATTGTTGTCACTTGAAGAAACAAAACAAAATGAACCAGGAGTGTTCATTTTTTAGATACTCATCCTTAAGGTTGATATGAATTGTTGTACTGTAAGTGTTTGTCAAAATGCCTCAATGAAATTTCCATCTTTTTGTGTTTTGCTAAAATTGTTTTCATTTTAATTTATACGTTTTATATCAATGGAAAAGTTTCTTGTACAACCTATGCTTTCATGTGTTTGTAAAATCGTTAATAGGATTTAATTATATAACTAATTATAGGTTTTAGCTTACTAAAATTTATTAAAACAATAATTTAGGTAAATATCATATTTTGAAAGTTTTAGAAGAATATATATAATATTAACTTAAAATTATAATATGGGTATAATGGTAAATTAACAAAAACGAATATTAAAAATGATTGTATAGAATAGAAGGGTAAAATGGTCATTTTGCATAGATCATCATATTTAGTTAGATGTCGAGTCAAACAACATGGTTTATTACTCGGTCAGAATTTATTACTCAGACATACTTTTCCATATAACACTTTTTCGGTCTGTAACTATCACACGGGCCTTATTTTCCCTTCTTGTCCATCCATATCATATTTTTTAAGCAGAACTCGGTAACAAAGGCGTAATTAAGACAATTTTGGCGCGGTACGAGTACGCCTTTGGCGCGAAAAGAGTACATCCTTCCACTTTATGTAATGTGTATGCAGAAGCTACGACCGACTAAAGAGAGAAATCAATGAAAACCATGTGTGTGATTTGAGATTCGTTTGCCTTTAGGAATAATTTTTTATCACGTCCCCAGGCCATGAAGAAATCAGAGCGACCAAAGGCATCAAAACGTGAAGATGGGGTCGATTTCATCAGTAACATGCCGGATTCTATTCTTCTATTGATTCTTTCACTTCTTTCATTCACAGAAGAAGTAATTCAAACCAGCATTTTGTCCAAACGATGGAGGTATTTGTGGACTTCAATTCCTTCCGTAGATTTATTTTACCGATTTAACGGAGACGACGAGTTCAAAAAAGACGGATTCAAAGAGTTTGTGTATTGGGTTTTAGCAAACAGATCCGTCGATTTGGATTGTTTTCGTTTAGGCTGTTTTGATCACTACACTCTCTCGACAGTAAGGCGGTGGATTCACATGGCTGTTACAAAAAACGTCAAACAACTTCACTTGATGTTTTACCCTGAGGAGGAAACTGACCATGTCGAGATCCCCCATTGTCTTATGACTTGCTGTTCTTTGGAAATATTAGGGTTAAATTTGAGCTATCGTGGTCTAAGGTTGACTAATATTATAGGGTTTCCGGCACTTAGGCATCTTCGTTTGACCTATGTTGACTTTTTGGGAGGCACCGATGTGGTAAAAGGTTTTCTGGAAAGCTTCCCTTTGCTTGAGAGCTTGATTTTAATATCCTGCTTCATGAACGAATTTGATCTTCTTTATATTTCATGTCCAAAGCTAAAATCGCTGAGAATTGAAAATGAAAACGATGAGTTGATGTGTGACAGCATTAAGATTTGTTGCCCTAAACTGGTGGATTTGGAGTTAAGAGGTCTTTTGGCAAATAATTTTTTCGTTGAATGTTTAGACTCGTTGAATAAAGCTGAGATTGAGCCTAAATTGATGGGGAACATCACATCTGTGTTGTTACCTGGAATTTCTCATGTGGAACATTTGTGGATCGACCTTTACTTCTTCAGTCAGGTACATGCTTAAGATTATTTATGCAAAAGTTGTTTTTTTTTTTTTTAACTTAATGTAGAAAGAACAACTTAATAGAAAAGAATCTGATACCTGAAGATGTGTGAAGGTATCATTGTTTTTCATCAAATTTTTATCATTTGATTTGAGTATACATGCATACATATATATTACCATGAATAATAACTTCAAATTAATCTTACTTGCTGTCATTATCATAGTGCATTTATGCTTCACGTGATTCGGTTCTACCTAATCTGAAGACTCTGGTACTAACCACAGGAATTGATGCCTTCACCATGGATGAACTGATTCAAATTCTCAAATGTTATCCGAAAGTAGAGTCTCTCAAGTTAATTGTTAAAGAGGTATTCTCATAAATCATCTCAGATGGTATGGTTTTAGACCGAGTTTCACGAACCCTAGACACAATCTTATAAGGATTTGAAGTGGCAACCTTCACATTATGATATTATATAAAAAATACAAATGAGCCAATAATCAGTCTTTTCAAGAATTAAAAACATTTGTTTAGATTTCCACATCTCATATGAAAAACTTATGCTTTTGTTTGATATGATCTAGGAATTTTATGGATCGGAAGAATGGGAGTTGCATGAAGGTGAAGCAAGGAGACTCATGACTCCAGATGTGAAAAGGGTTGAGTTTTTTGAATTTAAGGGAGAAAGGCCAAAAATTGATATCGATTGGGATGAAGTTACGTTTATGGAAATGGTTTTTAGTTGGGGTACCAAAAGCCAAGTACTTTTAGTATAGACTATGAAGGCAATTGTGAAAGTGATTACTCTTTTGAAGAACTCATGTAACATGGTTTCTTGTAAACCATAAGTAGTAACTACCTATTCATGTAATGGGGTAACTAGACTTCTTGGTTGGATTTAGAATTTTGCTTCATTGTTCATCAGTTTCAGCTTTAACCGACTTTACCACCTAAAGACAGAAATATGGGACTAGACTGTGCAAAGACATAAATGCCCTTAAATTATTACAACAGAAATAAAACCTAAAGTTAATAGGAAAACCTAAGGCAAAGCTACAAGTCAAGGCTGCATAGTGCATAACTGCATATTATGTGTTCCTTCTCGAATTGGCAAACCTCAGGGAGATTTGGCAATATGGTCTCCATTTCTCCATAGGCAACAACACAATCATAACTTCTTTTTGGTAAATTGATTTCAACCTTGTTTAGTTGATTGTTGACTGAAATAAGCAATATTGCATTAAAATCCCTCCTAACCCAAATCCTAAAGCATCTGTTTCTATCGCAGATTGTTGAGTAAAGTCTGGCAATTTTAAAACTGGGGATTTAGAAAAGGCTTGTTTCAATTATTCAAAGGCTGATTGGGAAATTTGTGTCCACACAAACTATCTTTTCTTGAGTAAAGTTGTCAAAAGAGAGGCTATTATACCAGATTCTTTTATAAATTTATGGTAATATTGGATAAACATTAAAAAAAAAAAAAAAAAAAAAAAAAAAAAAAAAAAAAAAAAAACTCTTAGCTATCCACTTCGGTACCAGCCAATTGAACATCAGTTTCACCTACTCACTATCCCCAATGGGTAATCGGGGATTTTTTCCCGTTACAAATTTTTGAACTTTTATGAAAAATAACTCATAATTATATATTAACCAACAAAACAAAAACTAACAGAACTAATTTAAAACACTATAATCATTGAATGTCTTCAAACACGAATAACAACATTCAAGGTTATAAATTAAATCATTTTTTCCAAAAAAAGACATAAAAAGTCTTCCCAAAACTATACATTTTATTGTTAAAAAACCTTACTTTGTCTACTGAACATTTGCTTATGCATTATTAGTAACACTATATATATATATATATATATATATATATATATATATATATATATATATATATATATATATATATATATATATATATATATATATATATATATATATATATATATCGGGTACCCATCGGGGCCAGTTTTGGGTACGGGTATGGGTACCCGACATGTAGAACCATCCCCATCCCCAATTTTTGTATTCGGGTAATACCCATCCCCGTCCCCGTCCCCGGTCAACTCGGGGATTTACCCGGTCAACTCGGGTTAGGGTTTCGGGTACCCATCGAGTACGTGTTTTTTTGCCATCTCTAAATATACAAGACCTAAAAGAAAATATTTGACTAGCAACACATGTTGAAAGTAAGTATGACACATAACTATGCAAGTGAAAACTGGTTGACTAGTACCAACCCGGAAAAGAAAGCTAGACTCTAGATTGCACTAATACTACACTGGTACACTAACTCTAAGCCTCCACCCTCTCTCATCTAAGTTGGTCCTTGGTATGAACAAACTCTTTCAAGTCTAACCTCATGTTATCTTCTCACTTCCTTATTAGCCGACCTCTCTGTTGGAAATAAGTGTTCAATGTCATAAATAAATTGGTAACTTTGAGAATAATAACAAATCCCTTTTTGGGTAGTCCTCGAGAGCTAAAATAGCTAGAATATAATTTAGTAGAGTGAGGAAAATAGTTTATTAATTTATTACATGTTAATAAATTAATTAGAAACTGGTTAAAATTAATTTAGAATTGATTTGAATTAATTGGAATCAATTAGAATTAATCATGAATTGATTAATGTTGCAGAGACTGAATGTTAATTGTTCAATAGTTGAGTAAAAGGAACATTTTAGATACTTATAAGGGGTGGAAAATTTTGAGGAGTCTTGGAGGCTTCTAAAACCAGTCTAGATAACAGATAAGGAAATGATTTGAATCTAGATTAAATCTGATTATTAAATTGATTAAAATCTGTTTATTAAACCGATTCAAATATGCTTTGTCTGCAAGCTACCTCAACTATAATAGAACCTCTGACCTTTGAGAAAATTGACTGGACCTCATGTAAGGTTGAGATTTCCAAATCTCATTAGCCTCTCTATTCTCATATAAATATTCTAAGGTTTTAGTCTTTTAGGTGTGACCCATTAGATGCGTTCTACTTGTGTGCTCGTCCTTCCAAATAATTGCAAGGAATTTGAGATCTTCAAGTGGATAACAAGTATATACGATTAAAAAGGTTGGTAATCATATCCCTCTTATTAGTTTGTATTCATAGTTTTCAAAGTCCGTTGCTATAATAGTAAAACCTTGATCTAGGATGACGTGCATTTATGATTACATTTGAATACTTATATTGCCTAAATCTAGTGTAAAAATGCATAGAAACCCCAATGGTGATATCAGAGCCATCATGTTTTAGTTATAAAACATGATTTGAAAAACTAAAAAATAAAAGATGCTAGATAACCACAGGCGCGTCGCGTCCGCCTCTTTTGGCAGTTTCAAGATTTTTGCTATAATTTCGATTTTATGGTTTAACTTTAGTTTTAAATATTATTATAATATGTTAAAATTCGATAATTAAACTGCAAATATAAATATGCCTAAAGAACCTTGGAAATTATAGATAATGATTTAAAATTAATTAATTAAAAGTTACTTAAAGATAATTTGTTTAAATCATATAATTTTAAATTGTTTAAAATTCACCTCAGATATAATTATAAAAGTTTATAAAAGAATGTGAATTAATATATGTAATATGATTACTATATATAAAAGAAACTAATACAACATGTGTACTCATATCTTTAATTAAAGATCGTTAATTGAACCATGAGTTGGCCTCATTTATGAAGTCAGACTATAAGAGAAGTATAAAGACATGACCTATAAAATGAGCGTTGAATCAATGTCCATTTCACTCACCACTTATTTATGTGGTGGATTGTCGTTATCTGAAAGGGTTTGATAGGACGATGTCTCGTTAAGAGTATAACATAAAAAAGTAATAAAACAATATTCTCATCTTAGTCATTTTAGGAAAATGTGAATTTTTGCTAACCCATAAAAAATGCACATTATTCCTTATTGTCTCTTTATGGAGCGTATGTGGTCAATCGACACATAAATTTGAGAAGTAAGAAGAAGATGATGTTGCACTTCTAGTTATGGTTTGTTGGCAGAGCGCGTGTGGTTACCATGACATAATCAAGGGTCACACGGTTTTGCATCGTTGGTTCACCATCTTGATTCTGAGACCGCGGTATCACATACATAAATAGAGGATGTGAAAATATGATATTAACATGTCATTGATTAGTTTCATTAAATCTCAAAAGATCTAGAAATTTCATAGTGATTGAAATTGGCAAATTGCATTGCCTACCTAAATAACTTTGTGGTGTGTTGATGACATCCCTGTACACATCGCAAAGCTAAATATGGATCCTATCCTTAGTAAATAATAAATCGAGGTTGAAAAAAATTATCTAAAGGATCAATAAAAAAACAATAATCGAATTAAAGATGTCTATAAGATAATCCACTAAAATCTACTGCTATAAAACATCTCAAAAGGATTAGCTGGAAAGAAGATTAATTCGTAGGTTGAGACCAACTCTCATTTACGAATAGAAAGATCGTGTTTTAGATAATGCTCTTCCTGATATTCCAATAACATATGCAAATAAATGGAATTTCATTTTGTTAAGAGCTGATAATGGTTATCAACTAAGTAAATTGTACACATTGTCATTTGACTCTGATTTTGAAGTGAACAATTTGGAAATGGTCATTAAGAAGGTGAATGGCATTTTGTCACCCTTTGATACTACTATGGACAAATCATAGAAACCCTAACTTCAAATCCTCCCATATTAATTATGATGAGTATAAGTATCAAAAGGAAGAAAGCCAATTATCTATATGGTTTATGGTGATATACCTAATACATCTACAAATGCCAAGGACAATATAAAGGCTTATTTTAACATCATACATATTTTAATCTTTTGTTGTTCATGTGGGTTATAATATTTTCTTATGTTAGATATATGTTGGATTAGGTGTCTAAGTCCATAACTATAATTGGTATATACTTAAATTGATAGTAGCATAGTCCTTTTCAGTTACACTCAAAGCTAGCAAATAGACAAGATGACTTTTGGAGAGAGAGAGAGAGAGAGAGAGAGAGAGAGAGAGAGAGAGGATGAATTTATTATTTGGTTAATAAATTGAAATAAATGATTTATTAATGTATTATGAAAACAATATATTAATCAGAAATCATGTAATTTAATTAATATTTAATCAGAAATTAATTATGAATTAATTTTAGGATTAAAGGAATTAATTATAAGTGCACGGAGTAAAGTGCAATTATTCAATAGTTGAGCAAGATGTTCTAGAACCTTCCTAGAAGGTCCTATAAGGTGGTGAACGAAATTCATAAGATAATTAGGGTGTCTAGATTATCCCATGTGGATAATTATCTAATTTGAGTTAATAATATTTTATTCAAATTAGGGTTATCCATGATGTCCTATCTGCACTATAAATAGTCCTCTACACCCTTGTATTTTCGGCCATCATATCTTAAGAAGAGATAGCCAAAATTTTGTTCTCTCCTTCTCCTCTCTTCTCTCTCATCCTCTTGCTAGTTTTGGGTGTGAACCATTAGAGGCACGACATTTGTGGTGCTTGCTCTTGAAGCTTCAACAACACTAAGGATTTGAATTGTTATTACTATATACCAATCAAAAGTATATTCAATAACCCTAGATGTAAATTTCGATTATAACATAAGGTTCCTAGGTTTTTCTTTTGATGTTCAATTCTTGTATGTTCAATTAGAGAAAATATAGATCAAAACAATTAGGGTTGCATGCACATATAAGATTGTTTGTTGTGCTCAAAACTCATCAGTGGTATCAGAGCCTTGGATTGCTTTCTATTAAATTTGATTGAAATTGGTTGAATTTGATCAATTAGGGTTTATGGAAATTAAACCCATCGGATTTAGGGTTTTCGCAATTTAGGTTTTCCTAACCCAAGAACTCGAAAATT